GTCTTCGGACCTTTAGTGGTTTTTGATTTTGTTTATTTGGACCCCATTGATTTTTAATTGGTTACCCCTGCACTAGAGATTCAGATGCTCATTTAAAATGGCGTAACCACTATATAGTGCCCTATATAGTGATTAGAGAGGACATTCGAGGACATAACATACTATTATCAGTTATACTACAAATGTGAAAAATATAAATGTAAAAAGAAAAAAAATGTAGCGCTGTTTTATAATTTTTTGGCAAGGCCCCCACCATGTTGCAGTACTCCAAGTGGTGATGTCACAAGGTCAGCTGATGCTTCAGCTAGCAACATTGGAAATACCAGCTATAGTGTACAACCATAAAACACAAGAGAAATTTGGTATGATGGAAGATGAAGCTGAAAAAAATCTACATCACATCCTTTTGAGCAAAACTTTCACTCCTCCCCCTGAATTAACAAGCGGGATGTACATAAAATATTTAATATAATATTTTTTTCCTTGAACCTGTTTCACAAAAAAAGATCCCCTGCCTTTAATTCATACACAACCTCATCCACTATGTTCCTCAGGTAACTGCATTTGTGTTGAATTTGAAAAATTCTAATTAATTCAGTTTCAGTTCAGGAACACTAAAAAAGTTTTATAAAGTACACATGTAAATTGTGTACTTTAAATATCTTTCCATCTGCTAATGTTGATAAAATATTCATCATAAAATATCTTAGTGACACACCGTAAATTTGGTTGCCTAGCAACTCTGAAAGCAGGAGGCACAAACCTGTGAAGTCTAAATATGATCAATTTTAACATCATTTATTCTGATGTGTATATTATCTATTTTAGGAAAACAGAAATGGTAGAAAATCCAAATTAATATGGCACCATTATGACTGATCCAGTGCAATACTTCATATGAGAAAGGTTAAGGTAAAACCAGCATAAATTATTCTTTTTGATCAAGATAAGGATTATTTGTTTTCATTTTTAATGGGCGATGTCAGCAAACAGGACATGCCTTCAGTATTTTTTGTTTTGATGATTTTTAGCGATACTGCTAACAAGGTTTATAGGACTGGATCCAACTCTTCCCTTGGCTTGAGTTTGAGGACAGCCTTATGTTCTGTACATATTGCAGAGGGCAGATTTGGGCAGGTATTTTGGCATTTGTGATTGGAAACCCCCATTGGAAAAAAGACAGACTCATCAAACAGGAATTATTACCAGAATTCTTATCTTTTCTTTTTTTTTTTTTTTTTTTTTAAATGGTGCTATTCAAAAAACTTCACAATGCGCTTTTAAATATTTTCATTTAGGAGCACTTGTGCTCATGATAAAAAGCCAGGCATATAGTCCTGATGCATTCTGTCCCATTCTGTATGAAAGAATGGACTCTAAAAGATTTTTTAAAACACTTTCGTGTATTTTTAAAGCTTCTTGCTTTTGTAAAGTGTTTTTGTATCTGGGCCTCATTTTGATTAAAATGTATTGAAAGAAATCTGACCAAAGTGCCAGTAAACAGGTAAGAACTTCATCATCCTGGCATCTCAATGGTTTTGCAGTCCACAGCAAAAAGCTCTTCGGATGGGAAGCGAAACGTCTTTAAACTTGGAAACAAACTCCAGTAGATTGTTTTTAACTTTTTCGGAATTACTATGACCTGGATGAATAGGAATCTTCACCAGCAAGTTCAGATGATGATCCCAGTTGGTTTCACTGATGCTAGACATCTGTAAAAATTTAGCATCCACAAATGCTCAAACTGATTAATAGTTCAGCATTTAGATCTTAGGGAAAGGTGAACTAAGTTACAATGTAATTAGGTAGGATACTGAAAATTGTAAAATTTTAAATGTAGGGCTAAGATTTAAACTATTAGTAACCACAAGCTAAACCTCTATTTATAAATCTTTTCATTCTAAGCCTAACACTGCAGTAAGCTATAGTAGCTTTGTCAGCATCTACTGTTATGAGAAATGAACTGCAAACCTGATTTAAAATAGAATTCAACACCTTTACCGAAAACAAACTGCAAGGTGATAAAGAACAAAAACTGTAGTTTTGATACAGCTGTTGTTTTTCATAGCGGAAGAGTCAATTTAACTTAAGAGGTTAAGTTGCTAGGTTGATTAGCTATTCAACATCCCAACGTAATGTTGGTCCTGTTCCACCCGTCACTTGCACACACCATGGTATGTTAAGTGTAAGCTAATCATGTCTGAGACAACATAAGCTGCTAATGAAAGCCAAAACCCAAGGAGCCACCATCATAAAGCAGGACTTTTTTCATCATATTAGCGACTTGGATGCAGATGGTATATAGTGAAACAAAGATATGACCCACAGCTTTCCACTATAAAAGCTGATTTTTGTTATGAGCTGGTTTAGATGGACAACGCAGCTTCATCCATGCTTCTGACTTGCAGCATTGATTTGCTGCAGATTTTACCCCTGGTAGACTTTTCTTTTTCTCGTTCCTTTGACGAAAAGCTTTATTTGAAAAGCCATGCACTCAGAATTTGTATTTTCAGTGCATTGCATTATGCAACAACTTAATGATGCAGACTCAAGTGACAGGCAATACACCAATCAAGTAGAAACACTAGAATGCAGGAGTAAAGACAAACATAACAGGTAAAACAACCAAAGACATCAAGATAGACATCTTTAGGGCTGTTTTCAAAAACTTTCTAGGTACTTAAAAATATTATTTTATCTAATTCACAAACGTTCAAGAGTTTAAAGAACTCCTAGGAACCCTTTGACATGCTCACAGACTTGGTAATTTTTTTTTATTTTTATTTTTTATGTTGGATGCCTTTTCTAAAGCAACCAGGATTCTAACCCAGCTCCCCTACAATAAAAATCTAAAATGCAATCAAAATATTTGACCTCCATTTTTAGGACAATATACATTGCCTGGAAATTTATTACAGATTTTGTTGGGATAATCAAGAATAATACAAACCTAAGTGGTTATAAATTAATTATAAATGGAATTTATTAAAAGAAAAAAGCCAGGTCCATATGTGATAAAAAAAACAAAACTGCTTTTCCACTTATGGTGGCAGTAAAAGGATAAAGCGCATAAAATGTCAACCATACTTTAGGCCTTTGAAGAGATATGAGAAGGAGTTATGTGAATTCTGCTTTCATTACAACAGAACTCTGGTCTCTCATGCTCTGCTGCTAAACACACAAATGCTGGTTTGAGGTGCTGGAGTCTTGACCGAGGCACAGTGTTGCTGATGAAACATTAAAACTGCAGAACTGACGGAGTAATACTTCAGCTTCAGTGTCCTGCTTCTTTGAACTCTATTATTGAGAATTTTTATCTTCATATTTTTTCTGGCCTATTGGATAATCACTGTGTGACCTCAGCAGCAATCACGCTCTGTTTTTAAGCAGCAAGGACAGCTATAGAACCTGTCTGCTTTTAACTGTCACAACAATTTTCCTCTTGCAGCATCTCCAGCAGAAGCAGCGAAGGTTAAAAAGCCCCCATCGCAGCATGCAGTGTGGGTAATTTCCCTCATCAAGCAGCAGATTAATCCCATTCAGACTTTTTAAAATGATCTGCAACCATATCTCACACACAAACATTTCATCCCACCTCTGTGCCGTCTCATTTCATCGCCTCACTTTCCTCAGGCTACTCTAAACATCTGATCTTGAGGACAAAACATCTGCGTGAGGACAAACGACACTCTGTCGTGTCTTTTGTAAACTCACCATATGTTTATGAGTAAACAAAGGGTAGAGGTAGTTGGGCAAGACTTACGTGCACAAAGCCATTGGTGAGTTTTGCCTGATTGTTTCTCAAACCGTAAACATGCTAATCTGGATTTAAGCAACAGTAACTAGCATTTCAGCAAATGGTTAGAGTGTAACATAGTCAGGACGATGCCAGCCAAATTGAAAACTATATAAATGAGCAATAAAAGGTGAATAAACATTTCACTGTGTTGAACTAGAATTTTTTTTTTAATCATCTTATTCTTTAAAATATAGTTTTATGTTTCTGTGCTTATCACAAAAAGAAAATAAACACTTATGTTGCTTTATTTTAGATAAAATAGTATTTAATATTTAAAATTTCAAGGCAGCTCTGACCTGCTGACCATAAGCCCAGCTACATTTACTGCTGCATGTGCTTATCTGTTAATACCACCGCGTCCGTTCAGACATTTTGAAAGGTGATATGTTTAGTTTACAAGGGCCAACGTGCTAACATTTCCGTCCCAGAGAAGTCCTACTAAAGTGGTATTTGACACCTACACCTACAGTTGCCCCTGGATCCTGAGAAAGCAGTGGATGCAGGTCAACATGTGTGAGCAGTGCTATAAAGCCTAGCCAGTAGTGGTGGTGGATCCACTGACATATATCTAGCAGGTTTAACAGTAATGAGTTACATAATTATTGATTTTGTTTGTGTTATCCTTAAAGAGAGTCAGACCAGCCAGCTCCTCCTGCTTTACAAACAGCATTTTTGTTAAGAGATCAGAGTGGTGAACCTCAGACGAATTGAAACATATCCACATAGCTGTTCAAAGTAATACCATATTCTTTCACAACAATAAGTGAGTGGTTGCCTTTACTATACACGGTGGAATAATGAGATGCTTTTTTATAAGCAAATTTTTGCTATTAAAACAGAAAGCTGTAATTGATTTTTTTTAAATTGAGGCCAATCTCTGTAGGCCTCCGAAAAAATTAACTTTAAATTAGCTCTAAATTTAATAGACAATTTCCGGCTCTAATGGGACTAATATGATGACAATCCGCACTGTGGAAATTGTTTTACAAGTGAAATTAAAATAAGCACTTAATGAGGACTCAAGGAAAGATCACTGGGGCTGGAAACCTGTCCAAACCTACGACTCGTTTCAAAAACCTAACAGCTATTAAAATAATCTTTTACTGCCATTTTTAGCAATAGGGTTAATTCAAAAGTATAGAACAGAGATAAATTAATTGTACAATATATCACTACATACAGGAAGAGATCAACTGCCTACCTTCAGGCCTGTACTGAGCAATGATGGTGACAGTCTGTCCCGCTCTCTTCAGGGCTGCTGCTGCTTGTTCATGAGTGGCGTTCCTAAGGTTCACTCCATTCACCTGCAGGAAAAGTAGAGCTCTTTATGAACAAATATTATTTATATGCGTCTTTTTATTTTTTTCGATACTTTATGCGACATACATCTATATTCATACCTTTTCATTTTGATACTACTAAATAATATCCAGTCTAAATTAGGGATGCACCGATCCACTTTTGTCACCTCCGATACGGTACCGATATTTGAAGTTTAATGTTGGCGATACGGATCCGATACCAAAAACAGCACTGAATTATTAACTAAAAAATGCTTTTATTGTGTAAAAAAAAAAAAAAAACTGGGATCATTCTTATGTGCATATGATTTGACTTCCCTTTTCTTACAAAAAAATAGGAATCAACCAAAATATTTAATATTTATTTAACAACTGTACACAAAATCTTAAACCAAAAGTTCTCTGACTTGGTCAACATGTAAAAAAAAAGTGTCACATGTTCATTCAGTGCAAATTGAAATCTAAAATCCAGCGCAAAATTCAATACAACAAAATACATTATGAAGGAGCTAAAATTGAGAAATTAAAACATCTTCAACATGTTGATTTCTAGACAGTCAAAATAAAACAGCCATCAGCTCTTTACGATGTTTAGTGCAAATGGAATTTAAACATCCATTATAAAAGCATCTGAATAAACCAAGAGATTCTCCTGCTTGGTCAAGTTAGTGGTGTTATAGTTTTAAGATGTAACATAGCATAGAGTTAGAATGAATAGATCGGCCGCTATATCGAGTCAATTGTCACCAATACCGATCTAGTTTTTTTAATTTATATCTGGATCGATACAGATAAAAATATTGGATCGGTGCATCCCTAGTCTAAATGCAGCTAATTAAAAGTGCTGTCACACATTTTCCTTACATTATTCAGTACTTTGTGTTGATTTTTTATGTTAAATGTAAAAAAAAAATGTTGAAGAGAGAGTAATAGTTTGAATTATACATTTCAATAGTTCTTACTTTCATTTTCCGTAGATATTCTAATGTAGGTAAGTACATTTTTAAATACTTATACATAATTTATTGTTAAACAGCCAGCAGAACTGAAATAAACGAAGGTATATTTTTAAACATCACTGGATTTTGTGCAGACAGCAGCTTGGCTCTCAGAGTTGTTATGGAGTTAATGTCTTGCTCAAGGACATATCTGCGTGGGCAGGTGTTTGCAGGCTTTCTGAACACCAGGCCACCTTTAATTCTGCCATCATTATTCTGACAGCAGGAGCTCGCTGAAAATCTCAATCCCTCCACCTAGTTAGAGTTGTGGATGAGGGCAGACAGGAAGCCTGAAGTTAAAAGACGCACCGATAGGATCCGGTCCCCCCGCCGCAGCTCGCCACTCAGGTCAGCTGGCCCTCCAGCCAAGATGAAGGAGACAAAAATCCCCTCTCCATCCTCCCCGCCGACGATGTTGAAGCCCAATCCGGTGGAGCCCTTGTGCAACACCACCTTCCTCGGCTCCCTGCCAAGGAGAAAGAGACGGTGTGAGGGTGAAGGGCAGGACAGAGAGCAAACACAGAGAGAATACCACAGGAGATCGATTTATGCAGGGTGTTTCCATTGTTGCTTTGTCTGTGTTGGGTACCAAAATATTAAGTACACCTTTTACATGATCTGCAAGCAGCAGAACAGAAGATCTCTCATTCTGGATACTTTATTTATATTTAAAATACTTTCAACAGAACATTGAAATGATTCATGTGGAGGGCTGTATTGAACTCTGAAACACCCATGCAGTTGTCCGTTTGCTACAGAGGCATGCAAAAGTTTGGCTGTTCAAAGGTCAAAGGTCAAAACCTGATCCTTTTTACTCTAAACATAATAAACAACTAATTTACAAGAGAAAAGTAAAACTTAAAAACAGATATCTGTTTCGAAAGATATTACAACTTAAACACAGCTGAAAACAGACATTTTCTTATAGCTGACTGATATCAAATAAAAAAAAAAAAACCCAAAACAACTTTCCTGTTTCAAGTCACTTGGCAAGAGAGATGTTTTTTTATTTATTTTTTATTAGTTTTATACACTTCTTCAAATCCGGAAGATTGTAAGCACTAAGACTATATAGCTTTGGTAAGCTTGGGAAAGTGAAAATATTGTGACTCTAAAGGCTTTAGACAACATTTAAATTAAACTAATTTATCGTCAAGCAACACAGGTTGTCATTGTCACTGCTCCATCGTCATGGTCAATTCTGACATCAGCAAAAATTACAGACAGGTGTGAACCTTCCGTATCTAGGTAATCCTGCTGACTGAAGGTTGCTTCTAAACAAGTTTTGTTCTGAATTCTGTAAACCAACTCCAGAACAAAAGCAAATGAGCTTTTCTCAGATGCTGGCAGAAGCTGGTGAGAATTAGTGATTATCCACCGTTAAACAAGTCCTGAACAGACCAAACAGAGAAGAAACCATTACTCTAAAAGCAATATAGAAAAAAAAAAACAGATAACACTTTACAAATAGAGGAAAACACCCTAATTTACAAAAACATGCCCTGTGTGATATGACCAAACTAAAACTGAATCATAAAATTTTTTTTTAAATGTATCCTAATTCCTAAATTTCAAAAAGGTTCAAAACATCTCTTGAAATCTTCTTCTGTTATTTAACTTAGAGGCCTAGTTTTGGTAGAGGGGAGGTTCTAGACCAAATTTACCAGCGGTCCAGGGTGGTGTTAGCTCACAAATTCACACAACATCAAACCAGTTAGCAGTTTATTGTTTGATATATAATAAATAAGATGCAGAACCAAAAAGCCCCCGGAGTTCAGCAGAAACCGGATACAGCAGATAAAAAAAAAACTGACCCTACGACTGAAGATTTAAAGTGCAACACCCTAATTTTTTTAATGTTGTTTTTATATATACACACATACATAAAAATGTAGTATCACACCTTCAGTAGCTGTCTAACCCATGAGTTTGAATAATCCTAACTGACCTTTAAAAGTTACATTTGAGCAGAAATTATGAGATCAACATAACTTTTTGAACGGCTAGCGTAAATGTTTGGTTTCAGCAGCCGTTTTTAGGACTGCATTGATTAACGTGATGAAGAAACCACTTTGAAAAGTTGTTAAAAACTGTAATTTTGCAATGTTTTTAAAATAAATAAATTACATCTGAAACCCTTCATTAAAACCTGCCAAGGACTCTGAAAACTATCATTACCAAAAAGCACTCAAAAAACACAGACCCTCCGCCAAGCAGTACATTTCTCATTCTGACGTTTAGGGACCCTTAAAAAAGCCCTAAATCTGCATCACACTCCTGATCACCACAAACATTCCATAGGTTCCAAGTTAGGCTCAAACAGACTACAGCATTTTCTGTAATATTGATAAACTACAAACAAACCAACTCAACATCAAACCAGTAATAATGACCTACTGTATGTAAGAAACAAGGCTTAAAACATTCCAACAAATATATTCCCCTAGTATGTAAACCAATCAGAAAACAAAGATAACAGGAAACATAGCTAATCAGGTACAGGCCTGGAGATTCAGGAAAATGTTTGACTGCTGAAGATTATCATGTAGATTTATCCAGCAGTGTGCTGGAGGTGTATCCCTCCGCTTGGCATCACTGCTTGCATAAATATGAGTCATCAGAAGTCAAACATTCATGTCTGCTGTCGATGTCAGATTGTTGGTAAAATGCTAAATGTCAATTCAGGGAAAGAAAAAAAAACTTGAAAAGGCGGCAGCTTGTGAAAGGGAAAATGGTTTTTTAACACACTATAAACTGGTTCCAGAGCTAATCTCCCATCGGTTCAGTAAAACAGTCAGAGAACCAGTCTGGTGCTTCTTTATTACATGATTAAAACTGCTCTTCAGTACATGTTTGATAATTTCTCTACTGTATCTGAATGTATAAAGAGAAAGGAGATTAAACGAATTACTGTATTTGTTGCTTTAACCCCTAAAACACATTACAAGCAACGGTTCAAGCTCCGATTATTATTCTCTAAAAACAGACAATAATTAAAAGAAAACATCGTCTGACTTTTTATGAGTGCAGTAGCCAAGTTCTTGGTCTGTCTCGCAGATCAAAAGCAGAACCAGCTTTGCCAAAGAGATTAGTCTGCACTTTTACACATGGAGCTCCCAACATCTTAATTGGTGTTGATCTGTATCAGTAGGCCCTCAGCTTCTGAGGAAAGGGATTGTTTCCTCTGCAGCAGCTAAAGCTTGGCAGACATGTTGCTTTGGCTGAAGGAAATAGAAAACATAAGGTCTGAACTGTTGATCTGAATGGTTCAAATTTAAAAGTCATCAACGCTGACTAATCAATGGTCAGCTGGAAGGTAAAACAAAAACAAAACATCTTTATCTGACTAGCGATCAGCCCATACCAGAGGTCTACCAGGTTGCACTGAGAACAACACTTCTTTATGTGGATGTTGTTACTATGTGAAGAAGACTCATATGTTTATGCTACTTATTTAATCCTGAACTTTAATTTGTTACTGGTTTCCCTAAAGAATAGACCAGAGGTAACTAATTAAAAATCAGCGGGGTCCGAGAGCAAAGAAAATCAACAACCAGTGAAGGTCTGGAGACGTTTTTAATCATAATCCGTTACTTTAAACAGAATTTAACACTGAAATAACATGAGGTGTTTATGCATCCATGTTATACATTGACTTTTTAAATAATAAAATAAAATAAAAAGAACATTTTCCCATTTTAAAATCTAAAGAGGGCTTTACCAGATTAACAGGAGAAGTGGCACAAGTGGAGTTAGACACTGTCGTCGGACAACATGGTGATTTATAAATGTTTTAAGTCTGGTATAGACTTTTGAATGACCTAAATAATTTATGTCTATGATTTTTTTTCTATCTATTGTCTCTGATTTTATGCAAGACAATCCTGTTTTACTTGATGTTTGCAGTTTAAATAAAATCAGAGAAAACAGAGGAAAAGAAAATTATATTTTCAAAAACCTGGTGAGAAATCTGTCCAGATCAACCAGACTGCAGAAGGGCAACATAGAGAGTGACTGAAAGGAAAAAAACAAACAAGCAACTAGGTTGCTTTCTTCTATCTTCAAGCTTTCAGCCTCTGTCTGCTATGGAAGAGGCTGGATTTGGAAATGCTGGGAGCCCTTAGGAAATCTTAAGGTTTAATATCTAGCTTCTTTAGGGAAGACTTACAGGGAGACTAAGGAGGTAGAAATGTTTCAGAGAATCTGAGTTAGTTATTTTTTAATATGAACATCTGTACATTCTATGTGAAAAGTTGAAAAGCCAAAATAAATACATGAAATATGTTCAGATAGATACTCGTACCAAACAGTCAGATACAAGCAGTCATTCATTATGTGTGTAAAGGTTTTACCTGCAAAAATCTGTAACATAAGACAAATTTAGTATTTGTAGTTTTAAAGGCAAACTGCCTTTACTTTTGCTTGAAATAACTGAAAACTAATGTAAATCACAAATGGGAGAAGGATATGCTTTTGTTAGCTTTTCATATCATCTTAAAAGTGCCTTTAAAAAAAAATTCAAACAGTTTAAAATCAACAGGTCAAAATAAATACATGAACTAAAAAACAAATTAAATCTAAAATCTCAAGATTTTCTGAAAACATCTGTTATCAAAATGTCTTAACACAGTATTCTCCTGGTCGAAGGAAGTGTTACTTTGAGCTGACTATGCAAGAACTAAAAAAGTTGTTTCAAAGTACTCCTTTCTATCTCACAAGGTTTAACCTTTTAGCAATTTACAGGTTTTTTTTGAAGAGTTACATTGTTCCCTATAAATCAGTAAAACGAATAGGTGCAAAGAGCTGTTATCTACTGATAACCAGCACCCTCTGCTTATGCATGAAAATGTACACATGCGTATGCACTCAAACATGCAGTAAAATCAGTGCACGACAGTAAGCCACTACCCAAAGCTCTCCTTTAGCCTCTATGACTCATCCTCCAGCAGGCTGCTTCAGCTTTAAGATGCTGGGGCGTCCAAACCACTGCTTCAGTGCAGCAAAAATCATGCTTTACACACACACTGATGCACACTCTAGGAAATCTAAGATCTCTCTCGCATACACATAGACACTTCCAATAGATAATAACATATTAACATTCACCGCTGTGCACAAAAACACACACAATTTCCCCTAAACAGAAAAGACAGCATGTCTCCCATTAGAGGTCTTCCCAGCCTGCGGTCTACAGGAACAATTACATCTCATTCCCTAATGGCTGCGCTCAGACTCGCAGTTAAAGACAGTTTTTCCTGTTGAACGGCAGCCGGGGAAACGATCCAGACTCTCAGATTTATCTTAACAGTGACTGGAAAGAGAAAACTCAAATAGCTGCACTTTTGCTTTATTTTATTGGGAGAGATTCTAGCAATAAAGTTCTGTTAAATGAAATATACAGATTACTTTATTGCCTTGGAGGTGAGCTGCTTGGGGACTAAAACAACTGCAGGGATAACATTGTGT